GTAACTTAATATGGCAATCAGTAAAATAAACCACAAGTAGTGAAACAGACCCCTAGAACTCAGGCATATCTTCCTCACACACTCTACTCTCCGAAGAGATATTAAACTCGAAGTATTCTAACGGAGTCTAAGTATTTAGTTTTACATGTCAACTGTGTGTCTGCTCCTTTTTTGCCTGACCTCTCAGGTTGGTGTTTCAAAAGCAGAAATGCTCACGTGTCCTCATACAAAATATAAGTCCCTCCAGGAGACAACCAAACAGCAATCCTTTCTGCAATGTCTCCCAAGGGAAGAGGCCTGGCCTTGCATGTGCCATTTGGTAACAGCTACCACAGCAATTTCCACCCCACCATTTTGGCATCCACTGTGCCTAACACCAGTTAGGGTGGATCGCTTGCTAGAGAAGCATCACCCTCCTCTACCCACCCAGATGCTACCCATCCTTCTAGGCCTGCTCATAGCCCTCCTCCTCCAGTGTCCTGTCTGATCCTTAGATCACCACCTCCAGAACCATCAGTCAAGTTGCCCCATTGAGCTTTTCATCTCTCATTCCGGCTTCTGTGCCAGTCATTGCAAAAGTCCAGGCAGTCCTGGCTTCCATATGCCACAGGGAATTGACAGTCTCCTCCCTCCCAATCGTCTGAGTAGCTGGTTGTGGTAAAAAAAAATCAAACAAACTGAACATTTTCTTCCTAAATATGCTTCTTAGATACATCTCTGGATCCCAATACATAGAGGGCCCAGGCAACCTGAGACACCAAGCCCTCCGGAAGCCCCTGCATTGTTACCCACGGCCTCATGCAGAGCTACTTCAGTGGGACGACAGGACAGGGCTGCCTGCATACAGACCTTGGCTTTGCTGTTGCTTGGTGCTCTGTCTCCTATAAAATACAGATATTCTAAAATTGTTTTGATCTGATTCATATGCTATAGCAAAACAGCATAAACCAGATAGCTTATAAACAAGAAAAATTTCTCACAGTTCTGGAGAATGGGAGGTCTAACATCAAGACAGATTGGGTGTCTGTTCTGGGACCTTACGTGGTGGAAGGGGCAAGGCAGTTCCCTGGGGCCTCTTTATATACTAATCCCAAATCCACATGGCCTAATCACCTCCTAATACCATCACATTGGTCATTAATTTTCAACACATGAATTTGGTAAGATACAAACAGACTGTGGCAAATTCAGACATAGTAAGTGAACTTTATTAAATAAAATTATCCAGCAGCTTTTCTCATTAATTCAAGCTCTACAGTCAGCGTCAGCTGCTGAAGGGTCCCAGAACTTTAGGTGTTCCTATGTTAGGAGCAACCTTTTAGAAAGAGGTGACTCCTTGCTGCTACAGGTTGAAATTGGAAGTGCACATGGACTCTCTTGAAACTAAAAAAAAAAAGCACCAATCTTGTTAAAAGGCTAATGGGTAGGTGGGCTACTGCTGGGGCTAAGCTAAACTGAGGCTATTCATCCTGTTTGGTACATTTTAGGTATAAAATATAGTTTCATTCATCATTGGGATCTTGTACCATTACATGAGTATCTTGGTTCTTATTTTTTTCCCCTTCC